CATTTTTCTAAGGTCCATATTTGTGTGACCATTTTCAATAATCTTTCTACTGCTGTAAATTTGCCCATTGTGGGACAGTATGATCTGGTTGAGTTGTATCTGTAAAGTTCCTTGAGAAGACATATGTTGTGAATTGGCACTATATAAATCAACTGAATTGAATTGAATAGATTTCTCTCAATTATTCAATGAATAGTTTTGGCCCTACATTTAACAAATAGTGTGTATTCTGTACTTGTGTTTTTTAAATAAATTTTTTGCAAAAAACAAAACCCACCAGTTCCATCCTCTGCTCTGCTGCCATGTTAATCTCAGAGGTCCTCTTAGAAGCATGTGCAGATTGCATGTGAGTCAGACCAAAACAACTCATTCTATAGCATTTATGGTTAAAACTGCTTTACCTTTTGTTTTTCTGTATCTACAAGAAATATTTTACAATGAGTGAGGAAACTACAGAAAATTCATATTTGAAGCTGATTTTTGTGTATTTGTTGAAATGTTATGTTTTGAATAAATAAGTTATTGTAAACATACATGTATACATTGTATACACCATTAGTTGATCTTATATATTGCATCTGCTAACATACACACATACACACATATTTAGATACATATGCAAATTTAGAAACATCTTTAAGAAAATCTAGTCTGTTCTCAGTGTATTGTTTTCAAAATGTGTATGTTTGGATTGTTCAGTCTGCTTTTGGTGTGATGTGGTTTGTTAAGTTTAACTCAGGCGTCTGGCAGCTTTTTTACTATATTGTTCTCAGTGTCCCATTTGTCTCAATTTAGAGCTTTTGTCTTTGTGGACATACTCTGTCACATTACACGTTTTAAAGGTTTGATAAAGGACGTATTCAATATTTGTGGTAAGTCTTTCTCTGATTTTTTTTACTTCACCATTTCTTTTCCTGTCATCTATAAACATATTCTTTCAGCTCTTTTGCCTGTGTGTAATCAGTCAATTCTGTCGAAGAATGTCTGGTTGTAATCACAACAAGATACATGGTCATAATTAGAGGCAGTGCTGGGGAGGCTTTGATGCCAATTGTGCCTTGGTAGTCAGCCGTAATTGCTTTCTTTTGTGATGGCTTATTCTTATGGGCATTCTTTCAGTCACAGCGCATTCAACAGTTTCTGTTGTAAATGAGCATTCCTTTTCTGTTGGATCAGCAATACACACACATACACATTTACCATAGACTGGTGAGCAATTGGGAGGCCAAATATAAGGGGCATGCAACACACAGAAATGTTGTTTTTGCAGACAATAGTAGGGGATATTTATGTTCGATTTAAACTCTGCTTGACCTCCCATTACGATTCCCATTAGTGCTGATCTCATCCTCTTGAATTAGTGAAGTTAGTGTTTTTGTGTGACATGTTGATGCTCTTTAAATGTAAACTATTTGCTTTTTTGTTTTTACATTGATGCAATTGTTTTAAACTGCTTAACTGTACGCTTATATATTTTATTTTCTCAATTTCTCTTTTTAGAGCTCCACCACAGAGACCATGAAAAGGCTTCCCCTTCTAGGTCAGGTTTTAGGCCGGCTTTGCTGGAACCCTTATGTCACAGCAGACGGTGAATACATGCTATTGATATTCCTTTGTATCTGTTTTTAAAAGTACTGATGAATTTAAACAAGAAATATGGAAATTAACCTGACATAACAGTTGTGTTTTCCTTGCAGGTGCAAGTAGAGGACTTCTCCTCCAATGCCTGTTGGCACTGTACTCAGAGCATCCAAGCAATGCTGTGGAAAGAAAAGCCAACGAATGGATAAGGGTAGGAACATCTTTCTTTTTGGCATTAGGAACCTTTATCTGCTGTCAGGAAATGGAGTTGAGAGAAAATGGAAAGACATTTAGCAAAGGTACATGTGCCAGGATGCAGGCCATCTTCTTTATTAAATAGAATTGTAAGAGGAAGGAAAGTTGTTATAGTGGAAAAGACCTCAATTGTTCCAGCAGTGTGTCTAAGAGCTTTGGCTGTGAGTATGTCAGAAAGAAACTTTTCTTGTTTGTTTTGTAGGTACCCCAACAAAACAGACAAAGGTGTAACTTTGAACAACATATGACCAGGATGAGTGGGGTCAGCAGCAGGGTTGGGCATAATTTAAATTTGAACAATCTCAGATCTGGTTGTGTATATGCCCAGACACATGGAAAAAAATGAGGGAACATTGCCTTTGACTGCACATGTATACTGATTTTTGGAACTTATATTTAAACCGTTACGTGTGCAAAGAAGCAGCAGAAATTAGAAGTATGAGTAGAGTGTATTCTAGGGATTTGATACTTCTGATTTTTTTTTTTTTTTTTGTTTGTTTTTTTTCTCGCTTAATTTTCATATAATAATGAAAAGACCCAGATGATGCGCATCCCTTTAAAAAAATTAGCTTTTATTTTAGTTATCCTCTCTTGGTGGTGACTTTAATTTAAAGGGTAAATAATTCCAAGCTGTGAACCATGCTTGTAATATCTTATTTCACAACAATAGAAATATAACTCAATAAATATTTACATCCACTGCCAATACACAGTTGGGACAAAGACAGCAGAGAAAAATCGAAGCTACCCTTATTCAGTAATCATTGAGCTTGTTGAATTAACAGCTATAGAGGAGTTTGTGGAGTGGAGAGGATGTGATGCTACATGTGCTCACAACTTGGGTGTTTCCTCTGATGAGGTTTACATATAAAAAAAACACAACAAACAAAAACAAATTTCCATCATACCACAGGAATGGTATGATGGAAAAAACGTTTTGAAACTGTGACTTTTTCTTTGGTTATTTCTGAGTAGTAAATGTCTACAAGATTTTTTTTTTTTTTTTGCTATAAAAATCTGGGTTTAAATTCTTATTGGACCCTTTGGTTCAATTACTAACTACATTCTTTGTAATGGTTATGTGTTGAGACTTCTCTTAACATCCTGAAAACTAATAACTGGCATGGAGTTTCCTCACTGACCACATTACTTACAGTTAATAACATGAAAATTTATAGGTTTCTTGCATGACCCTGGTTCTCATAGTACTGTAGCATGAGTGAGATGTTCTCCAGAAGCCTTTATGTTGCGCCATTCTGGATTGGCTGGTGATCACGACGGCTGCATCACATATCCTATTAGTGGCCTACACCACGACACACAATAATTCGAAATAAGAACCTCTGCTCGCTTCAACCCAGCAAGAAGGGTTTTCTGGTGAGACATCTCACTTGCGCTACTCTGAGAACCAAGGTTACGCAAGTAATCTATAGTTGTCATTCATAGGGCTGGGTATTGTTCAAAAATTTTCGGTGCCGGTACCAATACCGATACCTTCACTTCGATACCGGTTCCAGAACGATACTTTTTTTTTTTCGATACCAGTTTTATAATGTCAATTCGAAGAAAAAGAAAATTACACAACATAATAAAGTGCAAATCTTGAGTTTTATTTTAAGCTCTGATTTTTCCATTTACATTTTTCCTCTTACACAAAAAAAAAAATTCAGTGAAGAAGTACAGTTGCAAACAAGTCAGTGTCTAATATTCACTGTTACATTGTGAGGACATTTTTACTTAGCAGTTTTTCTTTAGAAAAATTAACATGTCTGCTTTCTCAGACAAACAAGCCCGTTGAATGGGATTCCTATTGACAGCGCACCGCTGGTATGTGGGGGTCTGAGCGGCTCCGACAGAAATAATATTCGAAGGCAGGATGAACTGACTGCACTGATTAAGTTTTTAGGTGGATTTTCCCACTTAAAAACATAATAAAACTACTTTATTCCCACTGATCACAGCAAATATAGCTGCAAGGCAAAGAAAGGATAGAGTAGCTCCGCCCAATGTGCTTCAGAGCCACTTTTCGACCGCGCAGCCAGAGCAGCAAAGCTGCTTCAGCCACGCGTCATAAGCTGGTACAAGCAGCAAAAAGGAAGCAGCAGACGCGATTTTTGCTGCTCTTGCTGCGTCCGGTGTGAAAACAGCATGATTCACTCCGCTATGGCTTTACACTGCCCACGGGCTGCTGAGAGGAGTATGGTTGCGCCGGCTGCAGTCTGCTCTTCTTGCAGTCAAACACCGAGCAACTTTCTGCTCTTAAATTGTTTCCATGCACGATGTATTGCATTGCGCATTATTGGCATCAGTCTTAATAAAGTGAAGCCACACTTTTGACCTGGGGGGCATTTTAAAGGGGTTCTACGACGCTCGCAACCAGTTCACAACAGATACATATGAACCCTGGCTGTAGGCGTGACCACCTATATATTTTTCCTGGATGACGCAATCACGTTAAGTGTTACAGCCAATCACCGAAACTTTGTACCGAAAGACGAGGCATTTTCCGATACTCTGTAGAACCAAAGCATTTCGGTCAGTACCATAAAAGAACCGATGTTCGGTACCCAGCCCTAGTCATTCATAGCATTCATTTCGATGTCTCACTATGGGATATGGAAACTCTCTTATTGCCAGACATCGCAGCTGCACATAAGTCCTGAATGTACATACCCCTAAAGAGGGCCCAGAACGTAGCCATGCTCCGAGTAGAGTGGGCACGTAGGCTTGAACAAGCCTGTTCAGTTACTGTTTCTCTAGAGTAGAACAAGGTGGCGGAGAAAAATCTTTGAGAATAATAAGAAAGAATGAGCCCAACCCTTTAGGCACAAATGCTGGGCTGGGCTGCAGTGAGATTATGACATCTCCGGGACCAACCCTGGTACAGGAGGGATTCACTGAAAGTGCATAGAGGTCACCTACATGCTTAGCAGATGCCAAGTCCAACAATAGGCCAAGGGGCGAAAAGCATTCAGTGGGGTCAAGTGTGTGCGAGTATGTCCACGCCGAGTGGTGCGTCGAGATTGCGAATCGAGAAGAACAGAGGACACTAAGCATTCTGATTGGAGGCAAACAGGTCTGTTGCCCGCCCAAAGTGGAACCACAGCTGTTCCATTATGGAACATACAGGAAAATGCCTATGCTTCATAGGTTCAGCTTGTGAGCTAAAGTGTTTAACCGAAGAGAACAAAATCCTTGCTGCCAGTTGACATAAGCCACTGTGGTGGTGTTGTACATAAGCCACTGTAGTGGTGTTGTCGGTCCTCACAAGGACGTGATGACCATTCAGGAACACGAGGAAGCGTCTCGGCGAAAGAAATACTATGAAGCGCTCCAGAAAATTTATATTGGACCGCTGGAGTTTCTGGCTCCAGAGACCTCTTGCATAATGACCCTTGTGAATTCTTCCCCATCCTGACAGGCTCGCGTCCGTGGTGATCAGCTTCCGTGAGACTACCGAATCTACTGACAAACCCTGCTTTAAGAAACCTGGGCGGCGCCAGGATCTTAGCGCCCTGACACAATCTGCTGTCACCGCCACCCTCCATCCAATATTTCGCCCAGGGCAGAGTCTGAGCTGCCAGCTACCCAACACTGAAATCCTCTCATGTGCAGACGATTGAGAGGAGCAACTTGGATGACAAAAGCCAACAGTCCTAGAAGCTGAAGGCATAATCTGAAAGGGACAGGTCTGAGTAGGTAAAATGAAGCAGGACAGGATTCCAACGTGTCCACCCTGTCTTCTGACAGGTGAGTGGTGAATGAAACTAAATCCAGTGCTAATCCCAGAAAGTAGTTCTCATAGTTCAACTCAAAACTCTGATTGTGTAGGTGCTAAATGAGTATCTGTGTGTGCATCACAGCCTCTCTGTGTGATTGCACCAGAAGGAGCCAATCGTCCAAATAAGTGACCAAATGGATGCCCCGCTTCCTTAGTTGGGTTTCTGTACAGGGCACAAACACTCAGAGGGTTGGAGGGAAATACAATCTTTGACTGAATCTGCAGAGCTGGTGAACAGGGAACATTCAGCTGCATCACCAACAAGGGCGCTTGGGCGTCTTGTTGCCCTCTTCTTTCTGGACTGATGACCGGAGGTCTGGCTCGGCTGTACCGTAGCGGAAGCTGCAAGAGGAGCTGAAGATTTTCCAGACCAGACCTGTCTTCCTTCCTGGCCAGACTGGACAAGAGAATAGGGCTAGGGTTTTGTTCACCTGGGGGATCTTGAAAGGAGGGGGTCGCGGCGTCGCCTGGGTGTAGGACTGCCTTGCCCCCTGAGGAGGAGGCTCTTTCTTCCTGGGTAGAAGGAAGCGGAACGCCTCATCCTCCTTTTTCTGAAACTCACACCGTGGTTCCATGGAGGCTAAGGCGGAACCGAAGATGCTTTCCAGCAAGTTGGGTATGTCCAAAATATTATCCCTCTCACGGTCAGACAGGTTGGTGAGGTTGAGCCGCCTCGCTCTTTCCTGTAGAACCATCATCCTCATAGATTTTCCTGCGGCCTGGCCTGCGAAGTGCTCCGCGCAGAGACAGATGTCAGTTATCCTGTTGATTTCTTCCAACACGTACGTGTCCGGCTTGGTGGCCATGTCCTCACACAGTTCTGCTTGGTATGCAGAGAGCATGGAGGACATTCTCAGAGCTCTAACAGCAACATCTGCTGCTTTATAAGCTCTTTCTGTCAAGCAAACTGGAAACAGTCGTCCTTTGATGGCATTGTGGGGTTTTTCAAGGATATTGGCTGCTGTGGTTGCTGGTGTGCTGCCCGAAGCGGTTCCACAGGGAGCATGCCCTGGAAGCCCTGTTTTTCCATGCCCACGCAGTCCAGAGTTTTTGCAGTCTAGAGTTTTTCCACTAAATGGGTGGTCCTTCCAGGAGACTGCTACCTCATCCAAGAGCATTCAAGGGAAAACAGGAAGCAACTGTTTTGCCGCCTGAGTTGTGTGGGGCAATTTCTT